CTGCCCAGCTGCTGCAGTCTGCCCCTCCCCTGGCCCTCTGCACCCAGGGCCTGCTCTGAGGCCCCTGATTCCCACGGCTCTCCCCTCACTCTGCTTTAAGGGCAGGGACAGGCCCCGCTGACACCTGTGGGTCCAGCAGGTGGCGGGCGGCCAGTGCTGCTGGCTAAGGGGACTGTGTGCCCCTGCCTCGGGGGGCCAAGGTGCGTCCACCCCATCTCCACCGTGGCAGCACCCTACCCTCACCTACGTGCGAGCCAGCGGAAGTCTGGGTGGTTGCCTTGCCGAGGGCACGGGGACGGCAGACATTCAGATGGCCTGTGCCTTGTGGAGCCACCCCAGAACGCTAGCACCTAGACGGCACCTCTTGGACTCACGACCCGTGGCCCTCCGGCCCCCCGGCTCCCCGCCAGCTAAACTGGCACTGGCCACGGCATGGACGAGCTGCCTCATAAGCCAGCAGAGAGGACAGAGCAGCTGAGGGAAGAAGCAAGCTGCTCTTTGTGCCCGGGCAGAGCAGGGGGGTCCCAGGGAGGAGCCCTGGACCCCACCACCCTCTCCCACACAGGGACACCTTGGGATCAGCTGCACCCACACAGCCAGGCAGTGACAAACTTGATCGCCTTCACTGTGTTGCTGACAAGATTCGGTTATTTTAGTATTAATGCGTTACCTAATTAAGCTGCAATTAATAATCTCCCTGGCCTAGCCTGGGTACCGCAGGGGGCCCTGTGAGGAGCCAAGAGCCAGCTGGGGGAGGCTGAGGATTTAGGTTCCTGCCGACCCAGGAGGCTGGGCCCTTGCTACGGGTTGTTCAGCAATTCCTTTGTCAAAGGTCCACCAGAACCTCAGACCAGCTCTCCCCCGAACTCTGAGGGCACGGTTAGGGAGGGCGGGTGGCTGCGGCCCCTCCCCCGTCCCGGCTAGCCCAACGGGTCCTTCTCCTGTTCAGCAAAGCTGCGCTCCTCAGGAGGCCAGGCCCCCGCCGCTAGTCCAGCCGCCTGCCACGGCACACCTGCTCCATCTGAGAGCCATCCCCCCCGCACTGAACTCGGGGGCCGCTCTGCAAGGCCAACTCGGAGGCGGTGTCCCGTGCACAGCAGGAGGGAACCCGTCTGGACCATCAGCACCCTTTACGTCATCTGTCAGGGAACTGGTTACGTTCCTACGAGGTCCGTTGGTCTGTGCTAACCTGGGGTGCCCGAGGGCGGGGGCCCGTGTGTGTTTTCTGCCTCATCTCTGGCCTTCAGCCGGAGCCCAGACCACAGCAAGCTGGTCTGCTCCCAGCAACACCGGTCTGCACAGCCAAAGGCCTGGGTGGGGGGCGGCCCGCTCACAGGTGGCAGGGCAGCCTGGCCTGCGAGACCGGGGGTGGAGGGCGGCAGCATGGGGGGCATCTGTTGGTGGCTGGAAGTCCACCGGAGCCCCACTCTCCGCGGCGCATCTTCAGGGTACCCAGACACCTGGCCAGGGGCCTGCAAGTGCCGAGGCTCCTGCAACCGGCGGCAGGTCACAGGTCACCGCCCAGCAGCCTGGCCCTGCGCTGCTGGGGCCGCGTGACTGCAGACAGCATGGGGGGGGCTCAGGAGAGGGCGCGTCTGCTGACGGCCTGCAGCCCTGCTGGCAGGAACAGACAGGGCCTCCGCAGAGGCCGGCGTCTAACCCCCATGCTCCGTCTGTGCGCCCCATCCATTCAGCAGCGGCCAGCTGTCTACCCACTGAAGCGCCATCCGCGAGGCGCCTGGCTGTTCTAACACGCTCCTTCGGGGCCGAGGCAGCTGCCCGGGGCTGGGGTCCCACGACCACACTCGCCATGCAGCCGCCCCCGCCTCTCCTGCAAACGTAAGACAAACGCCTGGCACGAGGCTGTGGGCAAACACAGGCTGCAAACCCAGTGGAGGTTCTCAGAGCTCCCGCTCCCACCGAGCTTCCGGAGAGGCGGCCCCAGCCATGCCACGCGCCCGGCTCCTCCCCCCGCCATGGCAGCCACGTGGTCACCCCGCGCCCCGAGGACTGACACGGCGACCCCCTGCTTACCCACTCACACGCCCGGTCGGCCAGCCGCCGCTGCTGCGTCCAGCATGGGACCCCCCCAGCCCCCACCCCACGCCCATCCCCAACGAGGCTCTGGCCTGTCTTCGCGGACCAGCCCCCGTGCCTCAGTGGAGCGCTGGCACGCACTGGCCTTCACAAGCCGGACTTGCACACACGTCTGAAACTTAGGCTTTGTTTCTACACCAACTCTGTTCCACAGGTAGGTCTTAGTCTTCGAGAGTCCAGTGGCGGGACGAGGCGTCTCCCACTCCCTTGGGGCATCGGCTGCACCCACTGGACGGTCACTTGGGTACTAAGTCCTCTTGTGGAGGAAACACGACGTGACGGCACTCCTGGGTCAGACAACTGAAGCAGTGCCCACCGCCCGCTGCCCTCTCCCAGGACACGATGCCCTGAGTTGCTTGCGTCAGAACCCCACGCTGTCCTGACTGCAGCCACGCGAGCTGGGCCGGGCAGGAGACCAGAACTTTCTCCCCCACACTTTCTGCTTCCCCTGCAGCTGGTGACGGTCCTGCTTTTCCAGTGGCTGTTTTCCGGGTACTCGTGACCGACTCGACAAACCTCCCTACCGGGTGTCCACGTTGGAGCACCCTGACCGTGCGGTGGGAACCACGAGCCGGGAGTCCGGCACACAGGTAAGGAAAGCTCTGGTCCACAGCGTCTCTCAAGACACTGGACACCTTACATTCTGCAACCTCATCTGTCTGAAGTGGTTCCAGAACCTTCTGACCAGTCTCAACCTGAGCTCCGGCTGCCCCTGGGGCGGCTGTCCTGGGTCCTCCTCATCTCTCCAGGGCTGGCGCTCGGGCCTCCCGTATCTGTGTTGCTCCCTAGCTCCTGCTCTCCTTTCATGGGTACGCATCCTCCACAGGCCTCGTGGGAGAGGGAACGGCGAGGTAGGGTTTTCCAGACGTTGAACATCGGAAATGGAACTGAATTCCTCCCTGACAGACCTGAGCGCGGGGCTGGCCGTGAGCCCCGTCCAGTCCCTCAGGCACCGGGAGCCCCGCCCCTGGAGGCTTTCTCGCCCCCTGGGCCGCAGTTGAGAATGGAGCGGCCCGTTTTCTCCTTCCCCGGGAGGCAACAGTTCCCCTCGTCCCTGCGTTCAGAAGTCCCAGGACGACACGTCCCAGTGTGGGGCGCCTCTCTCCGGCCAGCCGTGCTTCCCCGGGGTCCCCGCCCTCTCCTGGAGCCACCAGACAAGCCGCGGACACCCCACACCCCTCCCACCTTCATCCGGCCTCTGCTCTCCTGTTCACATAACCTCCCCCAATTTCGTAAGTCTTCTGTTTAGATTTTCATTTCACTTTCGGTGTTTTTAACTTCCAGAACTTCACGTGTATCCTCTTTGAAAACACTTTTCAAAGTAAAGCAACACATTCTTCTCCTTCTCTGAAGGTGTCCCGGAACAGTCCCTCGAGGGCTTTCTCTTCCCACTTGTGTTGTTCTCGCCCTCAGGGCCGACAGTCCTGGGCCCCTGCTCACAGTGAGCAGAGGGCTCTGCGGGTCCTGCCGGGGACAGGCCTGGTCTGCCAGGGCCTCTAATGTCAGGTCCCGCACCAGGAGCCCGTCCGGAGGGTGTTGTGGTGGGCGGGGGGGGAGGGGGCTGGGGCGGGGGTCGAGGCACCCACGCGCACCGCCTCTGTGCTCGCGTCGGTGTTCCCGTCCGCGGACCCTCCATGGGCCACAGGCATGTCTGACCCAGCAGGCCTGACAGAGAGCCCGACATCCTGGGTCCCTAACAAGTTCCTGGGAGGGCCCTGCCCGTGTGGGACCTGCTCTCTGGGACGCAGGCTCTAAGAGAACCACCTTGGTTTTCTGTTTCCTCTTTTCATTTTTGCTGGGGGAGAGGCCACTACCAATCACTGGTGCTGGGTGGAGGACCTGGGGGCCGACGGCTTGTAATTACACCCGCCGGCAAGCGCCCTTGATCCTCTGCCCCCGGGGCCCCCCGCCACCACCTCCGGCCGTGGGGGCTCCGGGGCACAGCTCCAACAGGCTCCTGGCTCCACCGTTGCTCACCCTTCAACCCCCCGCCCACCAACTTCCCCGATTCCAAGTTTGTTGTAGCAAACAACAACATCTCTGTGGGTTTACATCTTCCTCGACACTGAGAAAACAAAACCCCCAGACCTCCCACGGAGTGCCCGCCGGCTCACCCCAGGGCAGGCTGACGGCAAAGGCAAACGGGACAGACGGGGGGCTGTTTCCAAGACCCCCGACCAAGAAGACACGTGGAGAACACGTCCTAGGCAGGGCTGGGCACAGTGAGGGAGACGAGGGGTGACTAGCGCCCTGCTGCCTCCACGGGGATGAGATGAGCCACCTGAGGAGGTTGTGGGAGGGCCCCTTCAGTGACACTGACGGCCCAGCGACCCGGCCAGAGCTGTGGCAGGAAGGGCTGGGCGGGAGCCCCCTCCTGGCCACGCTCCACCGCTGAGAGGCTGGCTTCCGCACACGGCCCTCACCGCGGGCGGTGACCCCAGGCAAGCGGGGCGCCCACACACGCCCATCTTTGCTGGTGGGCCACCGGTCTCTGCACTCGCAGGGCGGGTCCAGCACAGGACTCCGTGGGAACAGGAGGGTCACCTTCCCGCCCAGGCAGGGACGAGCCGCGGGCTCGGGGGCTGTCGCCCGGATTTGCGGGGCTGCAGAGGGCGGGTGCGGCCGCGTTAGGAAGGCAGCTCCCCGAGTCCAAGCTCACCTGCGCGGGCGCTGGGCTCTGCGCAAGGTCCTTAGCCCCGTGAAAGATGATACCCGTTTCCACGAGTGTCGGACCTACTCATGATTGATGGGACACGTGTACACTGAAAAAGGGCTGGAAAGCGTTTCCCCACCGCTGCCTTGTGCCATCCTGCCGTGACCTGCAGCTGCGAGGTGCTCGGTCCCAGGCCCTCCTGCCGCCCCCTGCCCACAGGACGGCCCACGGACGGGGGGTGCGGACCTACCTGTCAGCTCCGTGGACGAAGGCAGACTGGCGGCGGCCTCCAGGCCGGCAGGGACGGGGCCGCCTCGCTCCAGGGCGCGCACGAGCTCCCGTAGCTGCTCGCACTCCTCCTGCAGCCGGACCTGGTCCTCACGGAGCCGCTGCTTGGCCACGCTGGCCGGGTTCATGCTCATGTGCAGCACTTTGGTTCTGCTCTGGTCGTAGCTGCCCTGCAGGACCACAGGGCAGGTCAGCACAGCCTGGACCCACGCAGTGAGGCTCTGGTGATCGACGTGGGGCCTCAACACCGGAGTGTGAGGACAGGGACGGCCACTCCCTCCCCAGGCCTCTACGCCCTGATCAGTAAGCCCAAGATGGTGCCACTGCCCGCCTCAAGGAGCGGTAAGCAGTAGCTGGGGGAGAAAACACGGAAAAGCCCGCGAGACAGCCCTTCGGAACGTTGCAGGTGCTCGGGCCACCTTCCCGCACAACAGTTGTAAAAGCAAACAGGAGGGGCATCTCAAAAGCTCTACACCCTCAAAACGCTCTACTGGCAAATATTCTCACGCCTGGGGGCCCTGCTCCCACACACCCTGGTGTCTCAGGGTCCACAGATGTAGAAAAACAATACAAAACTTGGAGAAAGATTGAGACGAGAGCTCAGAGTCCCCGCGTGGCCGTGCCCCCTGTCCGTTATGAGCAGCACAAGGGCCGTCAATGGCTTACCAGTGTGGACGCGGGCCTCGCTCTGCTGCGAGTCTACAAACACTTGCGAGCCCAGCCACTTGTGTCTATTTTACACCGAGGACAGGTTCACGCGGACGTCCACCTCCACACCCTGCCACAACGTGGCCCAGCTCGGCCCCTCCCCTGCCGCCCTAGCCGCCCACCCCCACGTGGTTATTGGGTCCAACACCTGCGTGCTGCGCGTGAGGAGCGTCATGCTGAGCGCAGGCCCTCGTGCCTCTGGGTTCAGCCTCCCGGCGGCCCAGGCACCGAGGTCGGCCCCGGTCCTGCTTCGGGCACTGCTCTGAGCACCGGAAGGTCGCTCACCCGCGGGCCTCACGGATGACGTCACAGCGACACACACGTCGATGTTCACTGTGTGGTCAGATTCAGTGGGTGCTGACAAATGCACATCACGTGTCCTGGCCCCACACTCACGGCCTCCATCGTTCTGGCTTTTCCAGAACACGGCCAGCCGGAGCCTCGTCAAACGGGCGGCTCTCACTTAGCGCTGTGCACGGAAGGCTCCACCCCCCCGCTGGCTTGCTGACTCATTTCTTTTTAGAAACCTGAGTCACGTTGCCTTGTGCGGACACACCAGTTTGCGGGTCCGCTCACTCCCAAGGGGCATCTTGGTCGCTTCCAGTTTGGCCATTTATGGAGAAAGCTGCTACGAGCAGTCACGTGCCGGTTCTGTGTGGACACAGGTGTTCAAGTCACTGTGTCAAGCTTCTCTGCTGCTTCGTCCACCTGCCTCTGCTGGGGCCCCTGGTCACCCCCCAGGAGAACCCTCGCTCAGCCAGCAGGCCCACCTCGAAGGCCCCCTCCACTGCTCCCTGAAGGGGCAGCCCCCACCCCGGTGAGCGGACACCGGCCCACTCTGGCCAACGCGGAACCCCCTCTTGCCTGACCCCCGAAACCAGCGCAAGGGTGGCCCTGGGACCAGGCGCGGCCACTTTCAAAGGCTGGGAAAGAAGCCTCCTCCTCCCTGAGGCTGCGGCTGGGAGGACGAAGGCCTCACTGTCTGCCATGTGTCCCACCTCTTCCCTCCCGGCCTGGAAGAGGCCCGTCCACCCCGGGGAAACAAGGTCAGCGATGCGGAGATGGACAGCGAATGAGGCCCGGCCTCCGTGCGGCACTCAGTAAGCATGTGGGGAACGACCTGAAATCTCAGACCCGACCCAGGGCCCGGACGAGCCATGCAGCCTGTGGGACCATGTGGCAAATGCCATGACGCCTGAGTCTCAGTGGTGACGACCGAGAGCCACTGACGCATGGACAGACGGAGACCGGGGGGAAGGGTCGTCTCCCCCGTAAATGGTGTGGGGGCCACGGGATGCCCCAATCACCCTGACCACACAGCACACACAAACCCCAACTCCTGAGGGAGGTCAAATTTACAAACAGAAGGTAAAACAAAACACGGTTAGAAGAAAACACAAGAGAACATGGTGATCTTGGAGCAGACGGAGGTTTTTCTGAAACAGGTTCCGAGGCACTGGCCACACGTGAACACAAGCACCCTGGACTCAGAGCGTGAGACGGGCAGAGGTGGTCACTGGAAATACAGAAACCTGACCCAGGACTCACGCCCAGGATCCCCAGAGAACTCACACAAACGGGCAAGGCAAAAGCAGACAATTCAAGTTTTAAGATGGGCGAAAAATGTGAACACTTCACAAAAGTGTCCAAAGGGCCGACAAAGCACAGAATGGAGCGCAAATTCATCGTCAGAGGGATGCCAGTTACCACGGCGGCAAGATACCCCGTGCTCCGCCCCAACGCCCGGCCGGCACCGAACAGATTCAGAACACCGAGCACCACGGGTGCTGAGCAGCCAGGGCTCGTGCTGGTGAGGACGGGAAGGACACGGCGCCCTGAAAACGCCACTTGGTGCTGTGCCTGCTCGAGGAGAGCAGGGCGACATCCTAGGGCTGGCAACTCGGGGCCTCAGAGACGGCACCAGGCCCATCGCACACAGTGTGTGGTCCCCACGTGCAAGGCCGTCCGTCCGCGAGAACGGGCGCGCACACAGCACCGGACGGCACACGTCAGACGCAGCGGAGCCCACGCCGTCAGTCCCCCCGGCACATCCCACGGCGGCAGGCCACACCGCTCTGTGCCGTGGAGGGCAGGAGGGGCCGGCACGGGGGGCTCCGGGGTGTTTGTGATGCTCCGCGTGCTGCTGTGGACGCCGGTCACCGGCGCGGTCAGTCCGTGGAAACTCACTTCTGCTGTCCTGCCCCGTGGCCGTGACGGAAAGGGGCGCCCGGACACAAGGACCGTCCAGACGCTCGCGGGGAACTGAACGCTCAACGGTCCCAGAGTTCACTCATACTCCGGAGTGAGGGCAGGTCCACACGCACACACACGAACAGATACACACGTGTGAGCAGACAGGTGCACACACATGCACACAGACACACTCACGGTGCACACGCGTACACAGACGGACACATGTATCAAGGTCAGAGAACCCCAAGGGGAAGGGGCACTGGAGACCACTGGCCTAGCGCTGCCGGCCTCCACCGTCCAGGGATCTGCTCTGAGACCCTGATGACCCTGCGCCAATCTGGGGGGGTCTCACCCTTCTCCCTCATGCTCTTGGATCTGCTGGGCGCAGCCCCAGTTTATGGTCTAAACGACCTGCCCCGTGCCCCAAGCCAGTGGAGGCGGGGCAGGAACCGGGCGCGGGAGCTCCCCTCTGCGACACCCCCTGCCCTCCACGCAGAAGGTGGCTCCCAGGGGCTCAGGCACCAGGAGATGCCCCACGTGGAAGAGGCTGCTGCCTCCCCGGTCAGGAGGGACGTCTGTGGGGTCACAGCAAGGGCTACGCCTCTGGCCGTCACTCCCTGGCCTCCGGGACAAGGACAGGGGCCACTGCAGGGCAAGGGAAGGAGAGGGCCGTCTCAAAGGCCTCAGCGTCTGCCGGAGCAGAGAGCGAAGGCCCCGAGCCTGGTGCTCTGGGAGGCTGGTGTCTCCTGAGCAGACGGGCGGGAGGCCACTGGCCCGCAACCCCGTCAGTCTCCGTCAGCCAGGCACCCTGGGCCAGTTCCTTCCCGCTCGATACGCCGTGATCTGCCCTCTCCTCTCCAACAATCCCATTTCCCACTGCCTCCGTGACTCCCGCCCACACGTCTCTCCTCTCTCTTCCAAAGAAAATGGACGGGGTGGGGGAGGGATGGAGCCTTTATTCAGATCATCCCACCCGCCGGGGAAGCAGGCTGGCTGCAGACACATCCGCTCAGTGTGGTGGGAGAAGGAGCACCACCGCTCCCACCCAGGACCATGTCGATCTGGGGGCGGTCCTCCCCTCGAGGGTGAACTGCAGGTATAGAAAACACGTGCTAGGGGATTTTAGGATCCCAGCAGGGCTTAGCCAGATGGGAGCGGACAGAGGGAGGAGCCCAAGGAGAAAATTCGTACTGGCTGCTGAGGGTCTGATGAGGGTCTGATGAAAGTGGGACAAATGACCCACTTTCTACAGGGGTCGACATGAGCAGGCCAGGCATGGGGAGGCCTTGGCCCCGGGCATTCACGGCGAGGATGACTCTGCGGGCTTGGCACCCAAGCTAATTTGGCCACAGCCAAGAGTTGTCTCCCCAGTTTGGGGGTGAGCTACGAAAGCTCCCCCTCCTCACAACTCTGGTCACAGAGAGCAGGACCCCCACCCACCCCAGACGGTGGTCAGTGGCCACTGTGCCCTGGCTGGGATGACCTCTGACCTGGGGAGCCCAGATAGGCTGGCTGCAGAGCCCAGCGAACACAGCCCCTAGCCCCGTGGCCTAGCCCCCACCTCCGGGGGGCAGGGGGGGCACCTGTATCACGGAGAGGGCACCCACGGGTACCTGTGGCCAGAGCCAGGGTGAGCTTTCCTGCTGGCCACACCACTCAGCACGGCCTCGAGCTCCCTCACCTGGAAAACGTGGATGACCCACCCCGAACAACGCCGGGGACCGACAGAGTGACATATATTGAAGACCCTCATAGACTGTAAAGTTCTGTACCGCCGTGAACCATTTCCTCAACGCGTGGGCAGTGGGTGAAGAAGAGGGAGGGTCTCCCCGGCACGTCAGCTGACCTGGGGGCCACAGCCGGACTCCCCGAGTGTGGGACTGGCCTCTGCCCATTCCTCCCGTCCTGTGTGGAGCCGTAAGGACCCGGTGGGGCAGGTGGGGCAGGTGGGGCCGCGTCCCTGACTCTGCTGAAGAGGACGGCCACGGGCGCTGGGAAACCTTGCTAAGCGGGCCTGGGGCAGGGGTGGGGGCTGCGGTCCACCCGCCAGGCTCGCCCTGGCACCACGACTGGCCTGCAGAGGGGGTTGGGGATGGCCAAGCACAGCCATCCGCTGTCCAGGCGGCACAAGCACGCCAGCGCTGGGGCTTAGGAGAGCGAGCTCCCCGACCAGGCCAGCCCCGCAGAATCAGGCCGTGAGGACGTCACGTGCCCTGTGGGCGCAGCCGCGGCGGATCAGTCTTGGGCATCCTAGCCCAGCTGGCTTCCC